CAATGGTGTGTTAGTTTCTGCTTTATAACAAAGTGAATCAGCTATACCTGTTGTTTCCTAACACCTCAGATTTTAATTCTTTCAAATAGGGTGTGCTGGTCCCCTATTTCTCATCCCTCAGAACTTGATTAGGTGAGGATTCAGAAGGGCAGGAAAAGCAAAACAGAATTGTTACTAGCTGTCATTCAGTTTAGAATAGAGCCTACTCCCTGTTGAGAGCTGCTGTCTATTGGGTATACTCACTGAGAACTTTTTCTGCACTATGTTGGACCATGTCTCTGGTCATGAGTTGTGGCTGCCAGTCTTGTACTTTCTTTCTTTCTTTCTTTCTTTTTTTATTTCAGGCCACACCGTGAGGCATGCAGGATCCCTGACCAGGGATTGAACCCATGCCCCCTGAAGTGGAAGTGTGGAGTCCTAACCACTGGACCGCCAGGAAATTCCCTGCCTTCTACTTTCTCGATCCTGTAGCTTTGCCTTTCTTTTTTTTTAAAAAAATTACTTTATTGAAGTATAGTTGATTTACAATGTTGTGTTAATTTCTACAGTACAGCAAATTGATTCAGTTATACATATATACATGTTCTTTTTCATATTCTTTTCCATTATGGTTTATTGCAGGGTATTGAATATATTTCCCTATGCTGTATGGTAGGACCTTGTTTATCCATCCTATACATAATAGTTTGCACCTGCTAATCCCAAACTCCCAATCCCTCCCTTCCCCACCTTCCCTCCCCCTTAGCAACCACAAGTCTGTTCTTTATGTCTGTGAGTCTGTTTCTGTTTTGTAGATAAGTTCATTTGTGTCATATTTTAGATTCCACATATAAGTGATATCATATGGTATTTGTCTTTCTCTTTCTGACTTACTTCACTTAGTGTGATAATCCCTAGGTCCATCCATGTTGTTGCAAATGGCATTATTTCATTCTTTTTTATGGCTGAGTAATATTCCATTGTATGTATGTACCACAGCTTCTTTATCCATTCATGTGTCGATGGACATTTAGGTTGCTTCCGTGTCCTGGCTATTGTAAATGGTGCTGCAGTGAACATTGGGGTCCATGTATCTTTTCGAATTAGAGTTTTCTCTGAATATATGCCCAGGAGTGTGATTGCAGGATCATATTAGCCTTGTTTTTCTTGATCCTGTAGACTTGAGGTATCTCTGGGACAGGAGAAGGGGAGGTGAGCTCCATTCTGGAAAGTATCTACTCTAATGTTTGGTTGTGGAATTTTCCATTTTCCTGGGATAGAGTTAGGCCAAAGGGCGGCAGTGTTGCTGAGGCAGGTGAGATGGGCCCCGGGAGGGCGGCTGTGTAACTCACTGCTATTTTAGACTGTATATCCATTTGCTCAGGTACATTAGAACTAACCTTTTGCCTGCTACTCTCATCTTGGATACCAAGAAGAGAGGGGTGGGGAGAAGAGTGGTGAGAAGCTTGTTTACTCAGTTCAGGTCAGAGCACAAATGGGAAAGGTTAGTGTTTTAAGTGAGGGAGTGAAGAGCAAGGTGCAGAGTTGGAAGCAAATATTATATTCCAGGATGTTTTGACAGTCTGAGAGGGCCTTTGGCAGATGTCTCTCTTACAAAGGATCAGAAAGGTTGTGGCGTGGGGACTTGGTATTCTGGTTGCCAACCTGAGAACTGTTTTTATTCTTTGGTACATCCATTAGGAGGCTGGTTTCAGTCGCTTAGCACCTGGCCTAATTTTATACCTGGATCTAAGGTGTGCTTTTGTTTCCCCAGCCCTTGACTCTATGCGTGGAGTCAAGGTGGCCCTTTTCAAACCCATGCTAAAACTCAAGAGTGCATCAGAATCCCCTGGAGGGCTGGTTAACACCCAGATTCTTGAGCCTCACCTCCAGAGTTTTGAATGTGTTAGTTCTGGGGTGGGCCCAAGAATCTGCATTTCTAACAAGTTCCCAGGTGATGCTGATGCTGATGCTGCTCTAGTGAAATGCTCTAGTGAAACAGTTCTTAGCCTTCGCTGTGCAGTGGAATCACTTGTTGATTCCAAAACTAGTGATGTTTGGGTCACACACCAAGGGATTCTGATGTCATTAGTCTGGGATTTGACCTCTGCATCTGGAGTTTTAAAAGGTCTGCAGGTGATCCTAATATTCAGCCAGGGGTGGGAACCACTGTCAAATGGCAGAAGCACAGGCTCTGGAGTCAGGGCACCTGGGGGCCAGCCTGACGCTATTTCTGTGCTTTTGTGTGGACAAATGACTTCACCTCTCTGATTTAGCTTTGGCTTCCTCATGTGTGACATGGGGGCAATAATACCTACCTCTCAGTGTTGTGGGTATGATAAAAATGAGATATGATGGATGCAAAAAGGCTTTATGAACAGTAAAATGTTACACAGGTATTTTTCTTGATTTTCTTCTATCCTCTTGTTAATCAAAGGGTGTATCAGATCAGGAACATTGGTATGACCTGACAGCTTGGTAGAAATGCAAATCTCAGGCCCTGCCCAAGACTTACTGATGCAGAGTCTGCATTTGAACAAGATCTCCAGGTGATCTGTAGGCATGGTAAAGTTGTCCTTTCCTCTCTCCTACTGTCAGGTGCCTGGTTGTATTAGTTTCATTTTGCTGCTGTAACAAACTACCATAAACACAGCGGTTTAAACCACACAAATTTATTATCTTAGTTCTCAAGATCAGAAGTCCCAAACTGGTCCCACAGGCTCAAATCAAGGTGTTGGTAGGGCTGCATTCCTTTGGGAGCCTCTAGCGGGGAATAATTTCCTTGTCTTTTTCAGCTTTTAGAAGCTGAGCACATTCCTTGGCTCATGGCACATCACTCAGACCTCTGCTTCCATAATCACATCTCCTTCTCTGACTCTTACCCTTCTGCCTCCCTCTTTTAAAGGACCCTGTGATTACTTTGAGTCTACTCGGCTATCCATGATATCCTCCCCATATTAAGATCCTTAATCACATCTGCAAAGTGCCTTTTGTCATGTAAGGTAAAATACTCATAGGTTCTGGGGATTAGGATGTGCACATGTTTGGTGGTGTGGGGACCATTATTCTGCCTATTGCACCAGTATTCTCTGCTGCCCAGGTCTCTTTTCCCTCCATCCCCAACAGATGCTCTTCTCAGTCTACTTTTCCTTTGCTCATATCCTAGACAGTTATTTGTTTTCTTTTAGCCGTTAACACTTCCCTGTTTTCTGTCTCAGGAACCCACACGCAGATTCAAACTAATTTAGGCATCCTTGGAAAATAGTGAGCTCTCTGTCATTGGAAGTATGCAAGTAAACGATGAATGCCCACCTGTCAGGAGGGCCTTAGAAGGAGATTCTGCAGTGGTGCAAAACATCATTATTCCCACTGAATTGTCTTTCACTCCCTACACAATCTGTTTTTGATGGGCCTCCAAGAGTCTCCCTTAGCTCTCTCCCTTCATTCTTAGCTACCCCCATCTCTGTGTTTCCCTTGGTATTTTCTACCCCCTTTCCCACACCACCACCTGGTCTCAGCTGTGTGTCCTAGATCATAGCCACAGAGAACATGGCTCCTTCCTGGGAGGTTGGTTGCTGGTCCTTACAGTCCTGGAGCAGACTGAGGACTCTGAGTCTCCAGTGTGGAGCATTGACAAGGCAAACAAGCTGGGGTTGAGAAAGGGAAGAATGAAAGGGCTTAATCTCCGGTCAAACTATTCTATAACGAATGCATTAAAGGCTGGTCACATGAGCTGTCACCAAGGATGCAACAGGGCGCTTCATCCACCCCTAGGGAATGGGACAAAGGGCCACAGGTTTCAGCTGGAATGGGAGTGCAGGAGATGCCAGGCTTCAACAGAGCCTGGCTTTGGAGCCAGGCTCGTGGGAGAGGAGCTCTAGGAAGATATTCAAGACAAGTTACACCTGATTTCTCATGGTGCCTAGACCAGCCATCTGCCGGTGATGGTTTAGCTGCATCTTTCCCAGGACTTTAATATCTCTTCCTGAATGAGTAGACTGGTACATCCATTACTGTGAAATATTATGCAGTGGTGTGAAAAGAATGGGATGGGTTTATATGTCCTGACACAGAGAGACCTCCAAGACATGTTGTTGGTTGATAAATCAAGTCACACATCAATATGTAGAGTCTGAACCCACTTATGAAAATAAAACCCCAAACCTCAGCTAAATGTATAGAGAGGAGATTGTTAACAGTGAGTGAATAACTGTGAGGTGGGCAGTGGGATTGATGGGGGGTGAAGAGAGACCATCATGATTTACTTTGAATACTTCTTACTTGTTATATATTCTCACAGTGAGGATGTATTCATGTAATTTCAAAAGAAAAAACCTCCTCAAAGCTCCCCCTTCCTATTCCAACTCAGGCACTAGTTTGCAAAGGCCTTTTTCGGACTATACAGAAATGCACACACACACATTCTCAGACAGCCATTTCCAACTGTTTCCTGAGGAAGATCTGGGGGTAAGATTTGGGGGCTGCAGAAGGGGTGGGGGATTGTAACAATGCCTGGGGGTATGTAGAATCTGAGAAGATTATTGTTAATATTAGTAATACCTACATTTTATCACACACACTTTACATGTGTGATCTCATTTATTCCTCACAATATCCACGTGAAATGATATTATCATCAACGCACATGGAAGTTCATTGAAGCTAATTAAACTGCTCAGGGTTCCACAGCTAGCAAGGGGTGGAACTGGGGTTTGAACCCAGGTCTGCCAAGCCTCAGAGTCTATATTCTCCTAACTCTGTCAGCTGGTCTCTTCAGAATTGTAACGTTATTACAGAAATGTAAATTGCTGACCAGAGAAAGGGTGAAAGCTGTGTGGCATCATCTGAAGGCTTTGAAAACCTGTGCCCAGCCTCATGAAGGATGCTAGCCCTCACCACATACGAGAAGAATGCTGCCAGCCTACATGCAATGTCATTGTGACTTGAGCCAAGACAGGCCCGTCCTGTGCTGC